CAACGGATTCCAATATACCTGAGCAATCAAATTATATTAGTGTTAATCAATTAAGTACAAAATTGGAATAGTGTAAGAGGAGGATAACATGACCAGAATAAGAAATTTGATAATATTTACTTTTCTTAGATTGTCTATAAAAACAATTATCTCAACATTCTTTTTAAGAAGTTTATTAAAACGAAAAGAATGATGAAGTAAATGTTTATATATAAATAGTCTAAGTATAACAAAGATAATTAAAATTCTTATTCATTATTCTTGTTTTAGTTTTACTAATATTTCAAAATACAATGATAAAGGAATAAATAATATTTTATTTTTCATCTTATTTTTTACTTTCTTTTGAAATATTAATGATTCATATGTTTTTATATTGTTTTTATGAGTATATGATATAATAGAAAGAAAAGAATGAATGAAGAAGATATTAAAATGATAGAAATTCTTATTTAAATTGATTTTACAAAGAAATATCAAAACTTACAAAGAATATATTGTTGTAATAGTTATATTAATTGATATACATTCAAAAACAGTAGAATAAGAAATAACAAGAAAAAAGATCAGTTAATATGATATATCCATAATTTGATTTTCTTCATATTGAGAAGTGATTATTTCAGTTTCTTCAATACGCTTTATTGGTGTCATATATTTTTATTTCAACTACGATCGGATTAGATTGTTTTTCTTCTAATGTACTTCCAGAGTTTCATGTGTAAAACATTAAGTCTTTCATATTTTTTTTTGATTAATATTATTCTTACGATTTTGGTGGAAGTCTAATTGTATTTTAACTGTATTTTAATCTTCTTATAGACTCTTTGTGTATTAATTTATTGATAATATAACAGGTATTATTTCTACATATATTAATTCTCTATTATATCTTAGTTTCTCTTGTAACTCTTTGTATTTATTTATTTTATGAATATAATTTAATTCTATGTTTATATCTTGATTTATTTTAGTCTTTCCAAATTTCATTCATTTAATACTTATTTCTTTTATCCACATCAAACATTAATTCATTGATAAAATATATCAAATCGATGATAGTATGATAAGTGATTTAATTTTTATATTCTATCATAAATAAAAAAAAATGACCAAGAATTTACTAAATAAAATATAATATACAACATTAAATAATGAAGAATTTTTTATTCAAACCTAACGATGGAGGTTGAACAAAGAATGTAAATGAATTATTTGATTTTAATATAATGAAAAAAGACATTTTAAATAATCATCTAAATTTATTACAAAATATTATTCAAGAGACTTAATAATATATTTGTTAAAAACATATTTTTCTTGTATATTTCTTTTATTCTCAATGTATTTTATTATAATAAGAGAAAGCAAAGTATTTTTAAAACCAAGTTAATAAATGTTGATAACACTACTTTTTTTAAAAGAAATAAAACTTGTAAAAATACATATTGAATGAAATAAAACTTAAATTAAATATATGTCTCTCATTTCTTAGCAATTCCTCCTTTGTTGGTTGGCATGAATTTCTTCTTTTCAAGTACTTCTCTTTGCATAAACCAAATAGTTCCTTGTCCAGATCCTTCAGCTTTCTTCTTTTGTTCTTCAAGATAAGCTTCTGCTTCTGCAACTTTCTTATTTGCCTCTTCAACTGCCTGTTCAGCTTCTTTAGATGCTTCAACTGCTTGTACTTCAGCTTCTTCAGCTTGTTCTTTGGATAAATCAGCTTGATTTTTAGCTTCATTGGCTGCTTGAAGAGCTGCTTCTGCTTCAGCCTTGGCATTGTCTGCTTTATTCTTAGCTTCTGTTGCTTCTTTTGCAGTAGCAGAAGCTTTCTCTCTTGCTTCTGTTGCCAATTTTACTGGTTTAGCAGCTTTTCTTTGTGCAGCCTCAAGTGTTGTTTTAGCTTTTCTTAATGGTAAGTCATCTTCATTATCAAGTTTAGCTAATTCTTGAATAGCAGCATTCTTGGCTACTAACCCAGCAGTTTCAATCTTTTTTTGAAGTGCTTTTCTTTTGTCTTCTTTAGCTTGTTCTTGAGATTTAACTTCATTTAAAGCTTTAGTAACTTCATCTTCTGCTGCTTGAGCTTCTTTTTGTCTAGCAATTGCAGCTTCTTCATCTGCTTTAGCAATTTCTGCAGCCTTGTTAGCAGCTTCAGCAGCTTTATTAGCAGCGTCAGCGGCTTGAGCACTTTCTTCAGCCCTTTGTGCAGCCAATTCAGCAGTTCTTTTAGCTTCAGCAGATTTAGCTTTAGACTCATCAGCAGCTGCTTTAGATTCTTGAGCTTTCTTTTGTGCATCTTCAAATGCAATAGTAACTTCTTCTAACATATTTTTAGCTTTTTCAATTCCCTCTACATTTCCTCCTTGTGGAGCATTAACAACTTCAGCCCAATCATATCCGTAAATAAAAATTAAGAAATTAATCATTGAAATTTTCTTGAATGAAGTAACACCAACCTTTCTTAAATGGTTTCTCATTTCTTGCATTGTTTGTTGTTTTTGAATTTTTTCAAAAACTCTGTGCATTCCTAATTCATCAAGATCACTTCCTTCTTTACCATTTTCTAAATCTAAACTAGCAAATAATTCTACATAATTCCATAATTCTTCTGCACTTTTTCCTTGGTCTTTTGGCCACATTGCATTAAGCATCCATATAGCTTGTTCTTGGAACTTTTTACTTCCAATTTCCTTTAATTTATCCATGTCTGACATGACTAAAACTTTTTTATATCATAAAAAGTTTGAAGTCTTTTTATTTAGTCTTTTGAAGCCACGTCATTTACAGTTCAGAGTTTTAACTTAGTTAGTGAAGCAATCAAATTCTATTGTTCATTCAAATTTCACAAATCTTAACGTTGTCAACTCATTTTAAGTTCTTATTTTTTTATATTCTTTTTCTATTTTATTCATTTTTTTTTATAAATCTCAAGATTGTTTTTTTTTTCCAAAAGGTATTACACGCAATCCAAATTGAAAGAATTTTCCTTATTGAAACCAAAAATGAAAAACACGAAAAATATAACGCAATATGCAAACTTTAAAAAAAATGATATTTCACAACTGTCGTCAAAAAACTATCTCTACAACTTACTATAACTTAACGTTTTATTAACTATCAGAATAATTTTTCCTGAAAGATTAATGTTAATACCCATCATCATTATTATTATTCCATCATCATTTCTTTATTTTATTTCTATGACTTATTTAATTTTTGATTCGAAGATGGCACGTCAGAGACACTACATACAACCATAAAATATTCCCATACCTCGAATCTCCAGTTATCGTCTGGTCATGACGTGCCTTTGGTGAGATAATATCTATTCAAAACTAACTGGTTATTATTTATTAATATTTATTATGAGTGATTATTATGTAATAATGTTATTCATTATTAATTATAAGGATTATTATTTACTAAGGAGGTATTACGTATTAAGAATTATCATTTGTTAAAGAAGAAGCATATATAATTGATATTGTTGCACAAAAATTAAACATAAGGATATTATCAAGGAATAGGGTTTCTTTAAGGGGTGTCGAAGGTAAAAGGAGATGAGCTATAACAGTAAGTTATGGATATCCTCTTCTTAAAACAATAATATAAAGAATGAGAAATATTATATTACTCATTAAAATCAAAATAAAAGTCAGGCAGCAACTTAATTGAGGAACCATTTAAGTCGAGCATGCTTGCAAAAACTTTATTTCAATAGAAATAAAGCCTGTTGAAGAAATTGATTCTCTCACTTCTCAGCATGATGAAAAACCTAAGAATTAGGTTAATCATAATTGGTTTCTTTTTTTTATGAATGAGAGAAAAGACTATTTCATTCCCACTATATTATTATGTTTAATTTTCTTTTAGTCTTAACCACACTTAAGCAAATCCTTTTCTTTGGTTAATACTTCCGCATATATTTATAATTTCTTTTTTTAATAAATGAATGTTATTTTTTATATTTCAACATCTAATATTTCATCATAATATCTCAATACATTTTTTTCAGTGTTAATTAATACATTTCTAATTCAAAGGTAAAATCATAACCAGAAAATAACTGAAGAGTTGAAGCTTGAATTTGTACTAGGGTTTGTGTATGGTGTTTTAGACATGCCACCTTCTATCTCTAAAGTTATATAAATCTAAGAAAAACTAAAAATTAATTAAATGAGTAAATTATTTGTTGAGTCATTAGATGAAGTCTCTTCAAAGAGCTTTGTTAATAACCTTAACAAAGCTAAGGATAGTAATTCTACAACAAGTAGCATCGAGTTCGAGAAAGAATTTAAGGACGGTTCAATGGCTTCCCAAATTAAAAAAAAGGAAGAGAGAAAGCCAAAGAAGAGAGATGATAGCAATGATAATGAACATTATGTATTACGACCATCAGGAAGTTTGGTAAAAATGGGTGATTTTGGAGCATATAAAGTCAATGATATCCAAGTTACAAAGTCAGGCACACCTGTAACTATACAATCAAGTTGTAGTCTTGCAACCATAAAGTATTGTGATTTTGGTTGGCTTGTTGTATAAAAATCCAGTCAGCCAAATAAAACAAATCTAATGGTAAATTAAAAGATTTGAAATAATTTTGGTTTTTTTATAAATTATCAATAAGAAAAAACTTTATTTAAATTAAACTATTTGATTTAAGACAGCCACAGAGATTCTATTCATGAAAATTGTTGAAAACATAACTCATTGTATGGGTATAATAAAACTGCCACAGCACCTAAGCACGGTTGTATTACTCCTTGAATACACACTTTATCACATGGTGCAGAATATAAAGTATATGCACCACCTTCACAAGTACAATGATCTTGAACATAACCATCTTGCATTCCTCCTAACCTATAACGAACACGAATACAACGAGCTTCAGGAGATTCATGAGCACGGATAATAAACTTTAAATGGTTTTGTTGAAGAAATAAATTTGATTGTTTTGACCCCCAAACAATCCCCACTCCTCTAAAATCATTTTTCTTAAAACCATCAGCAAGTTCAGGGTCTGACCATAATAGTTGGTTAAATAATGATATAGGATTATTTGAGTCTTCATCAATGAAACGATCAATACTATTAATTTCTTCAATAAACCCAGGTTGTGTTAGTTCATTTCTTGAAAAAATACCACCATGAGCACAAAATGCAGAATTAGCAACAACTGCTGCTAAAGGAAGAGATTTATAAAATTCTCCACAAGCATCTAATACTGAATTATAGTCTTGTGGAAACTTAGATTTAATTTCATCAGTAAATCCATATAATGAGTTCATTGCTAAACTTTCATGATTTCCTCTCAAAAAGTAAATTGATTGTGGTTCTGTTAATTTTAAAATACTCATTGTAACAAGAATTTCTAAACCATCAATTCCTCTATCCACATAATCACCAAGTAAAATATAAACATGTTGTTTCGTTGGATAGCCAAATTTATCAAAAATTTTAATTAGGTCATTAAATTGACCATGTAAATCTCCTACTATAATGAAATAATGATCGTCATCTTTCTTTTCAGGTTCGATTTTAATCAAGTTGTCAGTTAATCGAAGATATTCTGTCCCTTTAACTAATATGTCTATAATTAAGTTATGAGGAAGTCCTGTTAATTCTCCTTCTCTCTCTTTCATTCTTCTAATAATATTTTGACAATACTCATTAGTTAATACCTCAGGTAACTGTCCCGTTAGATGATTCATTCCAAAAAAATTCACTTTTTTTTAGTTCGTTAGTTCGGTTTTATTCTATTTATTTAAAACAAATTTTTATGATAAAAAAGTATATTGATGTTATATATAACAGAAAATAAGAAAAAAAAGAAAAAGTAAACTGGAAAAGAAATACAGACCAACGATGAATATATTGATTATAATGGTCTTTATTTGTTTAAGTGTTGGTAAATATCAAAAAGGAGAAGCAATACCAGCACAGTATCAAGTTAAAACAAATGATGTTATATATAAATGGGAACCATTACCATATACTGCACGACCAAAATTTGGTGAACGAACACAATTTTCATTAAATGATTTAGGAGTCACATTTTTTTATAATGACATGTTCAAAATGTTTGTTTATATAGTATTAAGTATTGAAAATAATTCACTGTATAGTCGTTTTTCATTTCAAAATGGAAGACTAATAACACCATATATTCCAATTCATCAAAATGGTATTCCTATATTTACAAATGCAACAATTAGTTTTGATGTGGTTCATGGAAATATTACAAAAGCAACAGTTTATCCTTTTTGTTTGTTAGAAGTATTTTATTATTAATTTATTCATTAGAGTAATTTAAGTATTAATTAGAGTAGTAAGAACACAAGAAAAGTTTAAATTAGAGACATTTGGATTTGTTAGTTTTTTGTTTGTCTTTAATGAAAAGACACACGAATATACTTATTTATCTCAAAATCTCATTCTTTCAGGATCTGCTATCTTTTGTGGAATCTTAGCACTTCTTTTGTTCTTGAAACAAAGTCATTCAAAAAAGTAATTTATTTTTCTTTAAGAAATAAATCTGATTCTGAAAAACAAAATCATCATCAGTTCATTTGTTTAGTTTTATCATACTAACTATAAAATATTATATAAAAATTATATTTAATAATAAAGAAAATGAACTTAAAAAGTAAATTAGTAAAAAATAAAAAAGAGATTTAGAAAAATATAAAAAATAATAAAAAAATCTCAAAAATGAATAGAGAGGAAAGAAATGGCAAGATTTGAGATTAAGAGAAAAGTTAGTACTAAATCTACACGAGTTAAATGTGTTGATTTTCATCCTAAAGAGCCATGGGTATTAGCTGCACTTCATACAGGAACAATTTATATTTTAAATTATCAAACTAAATCTATTGTAAAGACACTGGATATTGGTGATAAACCAATTCGAAGTGCTAGATTTGTTGCTCGTAAAGAATGGATTATTGTTGGAAGTGATGATATGATGATTCGAGTATATAATTATAATACAATGACATTAGAAAAGAGTTTTGTTGCACATGAAGATTATATTAGAGATATTATTGTTCATCCAACATTACCATATATTTTGACATGTTCAGATGATACTACAATTAAATGTTTTAATTTTGAACAAAATTTTGTTGAAGTTATGGTATTTAAAGGACATACTAATGCAGTTATGTCATTATCATTAAATCCAAAAGATCCTAATATTTTTGCATCAGGATCATTAGATGGAACAGTAAAAATATGGGGATTAAATAGTAATTCACCACATTTTACATTAGAAGGTCATGAAGCAGGAGTATGTTGTGTATGTTATTTAATAAATGATACAAGACCATATCTTTTATCAGGAGGAGAAGATACTGTTATTCGAGTTTGGGATTATCAAACTAAAGCATGTGTAAATAAATTTGAAGGACATACTGATGTAGTGTGGAGTATTAAATGTCATGAAGAATTCCCAATTATTGCATCAGCATCAGAAGATTCTACAATTAGAATTTGGAATATTCAAACTAATAAAATTGAACGAGTATTGAATTATGATTTTGAACGTAATTGGTCATTGGCATTTAATGGGAATTTATTAGCTATAGGATCTGATCAAGGAACATTAGTAGTAAAAATAGGATCTGATATACCTACTATTTCTATGGATGGAAATGGAAAAATTATCATGACAAAAAGACAAGATGCTATTATGTATAATGCCAAAAATATTGAATCAGGAGATGGAGAAATATTAATGCTTCCAATGAAAGAACTTGGGGTTGTTGATGTTTTTCCACAAAATATTCAATTTTCACCAAATGGTAGATTTATAGCAATTGTAGGAGATTCTGATTATATCATTTACACAACATTAGCATGGAGAAATGTTAAATATGGAAATTGTTCACAATTTGTTTGGTCAGATAATGGAGGATATGCTGTGTTAGAAAAGAATGGAAATGTCAAAGTATTTAATAAACAATTTGAAGAAGCCAATATCAATATCCAAGAAGAAATTAGTCCAGATGGAATCTTTGGAGGAAATTTATTAACATTAAAATATGGAGATTCATTATCATTATATACATGGGAAGGACAATTTATTACTGATATTCAAATTGTTGCTAAAAACCTTTATTGGTCAGATACAGAACTTGTTTCTATTTGCTCAGATGATAGTTATTATATTTTAAAATATAATAGTGAAATGGTTCAACAATATTTTAATAAAAATAAAAGTGTTCCAGAAGAAGGATTAACTGAAGCATTTGAAGTACTTTCTGAAATTCCAGAAACTGTTAAATCAGGAAATTGGTATGGTGATGCATTTATTTATATTAACCATAACAATTCATTATGTTATTATGTTGGAGCATTTTGTAATATTATTACTCATTTAGAAAATAATATGTATTTACTCGGATATTTACCTAAAGAAAATAGATGTTTCCTTAGTGATTTAAAAGGAGAAAATATTATTAGTTATAAATTACTTCATTCATTATTAGTATTCCAATCAGCTGTATTAAGAAAAGATGAAAGTAAAATTGAAGAATATTTAGCTCAAATTCCTAAAGATTCATTAAGTGTTGCAGCATTATTTTTAAAACAGCATGAATATCCAGAATTAGCATTAAGTATTTCTGATGATCCAGAATTTAAATTTGATTTAGCAGTTAGTTTACATAAAATTGATTTAGCAAGAGAAATGGCAGATATTATAAATGATGATCATCAATGGAAAGAATTGACTAAATTATATTTGGATAATGATGATATAGAAGAAGCAATTGATTGTATGTTTAAAGGAAATGATTGGAGTGGAATTCTTTTATTTGGTGTTGCATTAAATGATGGTGAATTAATAGAACGATTATTGAAAATTACAGAAGAAAAAGAAATTTGGAATATTGCCTTTGTTTGTGCTCATATTATGCAAATGAAAGAAAAATGTGTTCAAATATTACAAAAGACAAGTAGATATCCTGAAGCTGCAATGTATGCTGTTACTTATGGACTTCCACCTGAATTAGCTAAAAATATTGTTGAGGAATGGAAAACTGAATTATCTGAAATTTATCCAAAACAAGCTGAGGCACTTGCAAATCCACTTGACAACCCTGAATTATTTGTTCTTCCTGAACAACAATAAAACTTAATTGAAATAAAAGAAAATGCGTTTCAAAGTTATTGAATTTAAGGTTAATCATATTTTTATTAAACTTCTTTTCTTTTACATAATAAAAATTTGTGTTATGTCTCTTTTTAAAGTTGTTTTAAATATCATTTAAAATTTTCATTCAAGTTTTAAAAACAAAAAATCAATCTTTGATATAGACAAATGTCATTACATACATTTTAATAAAACAGTATCTTTTAGGAAAATAAAGACTTAATTTGTAAAAAGAAGAATTGTTGAAAAATATTATTTACTTTAGTTAGTTTCTTGAATAGTTTTTATTATTTTTGTAAGAGTTGTTTATGGAAATAATTTCTATAATAAAAATAAAAATCATTTAATAAAACAAAAGAATTAAAATGCTTTTTTTCTTAAAAAAAAATCTAAATTAAGGTGGGAGTTGAATTGTTTTTTGGTTTTACAGATTAGTAATTTATATTATTTAATAATTTTATTTACTATTTAGTTAATTTTTTTATCTTCAAATTTTAAATGAGATTAAATTAATATTTTTTGATTGAAAGAAAGAATGAGGCAAATTATTAATTTATTGTATTTTAATGATAGTTATAATTTTATTTATATAATTTTTCCATAAATATGTGTTTTTTGTTGAATTATTTATGAGTAAGAAAGTACTAACGTAAATAAAAACAAAATAAATAATTTAGTGCTTTATTTTTTGTGTGTTTAAAACACTTGTCATAAAATCAAAAAACAAGAACCATTTTGTTTAAACAAATTTAGTTTAACCTTTACATGTATTTAATCTCCATTTTAGTTTTTGAAAATATTCTTTTCATTAAAAGTTATCGTATTACAGATTAGTGTATAAGATGTTTAAACGAAATATTAAAAATTTGTTATTGTAATTTCTAATACCTGAAATGTGCCATTCGTGTTTTGTGAAATGAGGAAAATTGAATGAAGGAATTAAAGAGAAAAGAGTGTATTGTTGTTAGATTGTAAATTAATAGTTTTAGAAGTTATAAGTTATGTAAATTTTGAAAATAAAAATAATAAAACCTCTATGAATTTGTTTAGAGAAAATTGAGGGAGATTTGTAAAGTGATAAATTAATTGAAGTAAATGTGACTATAAAATATAAACAAAAATAAAATTATTAATAAAATAACGAAAAAGTCAGAAATTTGTTAGGTGACTTAAACTTAGTAATTTCAAGAAAGTGATGATAATTTTCTTGAAGTGTTAAATTCTATAATTTACAATTATATTACTAAGCAGAAATAGAGATATTAGTTGAGTAGAACCAATGAAGGGAATTCTTTTGATCGTAGAATGAAAAAGAAATGTAAAGAGTTTTTTATTTCGTTAGTAGACTTGATATATAAAAACACCTTTGAACTATAGAAGAAAATAAAAATGGAAAAGATGTTCTGTAATCAATGTGAACAAACAGCTAAAGGTACTGGCTGTACAGTTTGTGGTGTTTGTACTAAAGAACCTATTGTTTCTAATACTATGGATGTTCTTATTTATGCCCTTCGTATGAATGCTCTTGTTGCTTTAAAAGCAAAGAAAAATGGAATTGAAGTCGATAATGAATATCATGTTCTTACTTGCTCAGCACTATTCTCTACTTTGACTAATGTTAACTTCAGTGAAAAAGATATTTCTCAGATTGTTGAACAAGTTTTTATTCAACGCAAGAAATTAATAGAAAAGTTACCAAAAAATGAGTTAAATGGAGTAGAAGATGTTGAGGATGTTGCTCATTATATTGAAACTCATCTGTCAGACAAAAGACCAAATAAATGGATTGACAACCAAGATATTCAAAGTTTAATGCAAACAATTATCTTTGGCTTGAAAGGAATTTGTGCCTATGTATGTCATGCACACTTATTGAAAAAAGATAATGTCCAAATCTTTGAATTTATCCAAGTTGCATTAGCTGCTGGTTATGATGGTAAAGAAAGAACATTAGAAGACTGGATTCATTTAACATTAGAAGTTGGTAAATGGTCACTTGAAACCATGAAGCTATTAGATGAGGCAAACAACACTCTTGGACATCCAGAACCAACAGAAGTATTAATTGGACATAAGGCTGGAAAATGCATTTTGGTTACTGGACATGATTTGCATGATTTAGAGTTATTACTTAAACAAACTGAAGGAAAAGGAGTTAATGTTTATACCCACGGTGAAATGCTTCCTGCACATGGATATCCATTATTGAAGAAATACAAACATCTTATTGGTCATTTTGGAACTGCTTGGCAAAACCAACAAAGAGAATTTCCAACATTCCCTGGTGCTATTCTCTTTACTACTAATTGTTTAATGAAACCATTACCTAGTTATAAGGATAGAGTATTTACTACAAACGAAGTTGGTTTTAATGGTTTAGTTCATATTGGAAATGATAAAGATTTTACTCCAGTTATTCAGAAGGCATTAGAAATGGAAGGGTTTACTGATGATTTGAAAGAAGATACTGTAACTACTGGATTTAGTCATCATGCTATTCTTGAAGAAAAAACAGCAAATAAGTTAGTTTCATTAATTAAAGAAGGTAAAATTAAAAATATTTTTGTTGTTGGAGGTTGTGATGGAGCTAAGGCAGGAAGAAATTATTATACTGAACTTGTTCAAAAGATTCCAAAGGATAGTATTATATTGACTTGTGCTTGTGGTAAATTTAGATTCTTTAGAGAAAAGCTTGGAGATATTGAAGGAATTCCAAGACTTCTTGACCTTGGACAATGCAATGATAGTTATTCTGCAATTGTTGTTGCTTTAAAACTGGCTGAGATATTTAAGTGTGGGGTAAATGAACTTCCATTACACCTTATTCTCTCATGGTATGAGCAAAAAGCAGTTGCTGTCTTATTAGCATTATTATATCTTGGAATTAAGAATATTAGAATTGGACCAAGTGCACCTGCATTCTTAACTCCTGGAGTGTTTAAGTACCTTCATGATAATTTGAATTTAATGATGACCACTACACCTGATAATGATCTCGCCAACTTATAAGAATGTCAATCCAATAGTCATTAATTAAGTCTTGGTGATTTATATTTTTGTTTTAAGTTAAAAAATAAGAATTAGATGATAATAATGTAATAGAAATTGTTACTATTCTTTAATCTACCTATCAATTGGTTTTTTGTCTTTATTATATTTAATTTCAATAATTTTTATTTGATTTCAATCTTTATATCAAAGTATTTTCATATTTTATGTTTTAGTTGTTCTAATAGTTATATATTTCTTCAGTTGTATGAGTCTTGTTTTCTCTTATTTCTCTCTATTTCTTTTTTTTCATTGAACAATTCAATCTATAACTTTATTTAGTTTTGATTTCATTAATTAAAATTGTTCTTTGTTATATTGTTAATGAGTTATTTTGTCTTCAGTTTATATGACATTCTTTCCGTTATCCTTCTCCTTTGTCTATGACTTATTCTTCTTCTTTCATTTTCGACTTAAATTAAGACATTCGATTCCTACTAATTATTAGGAGATGTTAAGTTCCTAAGTTATACAAGTAAAGAATGAAAGAAGAAAAGAAAATAACATTTGCCAAAAAGAAGTTTTTTAATTTTTATTCAAAAACACTTCCTCCAATAAATTCTCTAATCAATGAAGTAGATCCAATAAGGTGGTCATCAACTGGCATAAACAATTCAAGTGTATCTAATAAATTACGTGCCATATTATAGTTTGGATCATCAACTGGAACAGTTTTTAATAATGGAAGGACATATGGATAAATAGCTGCAATCTCATAATCCATTGAAGAATTCCATATTTTATCTGCTTGATCAACAAATGGAAATATGTATTTCTCTTCACCCTTAGCAACATTAAACCAACTCTTTAATGTATGTGATGCTGTGTAATTTCTAGTTAAATAGTCTCGTACTATTCTTCTATAGAATCTTAATACTTGATTTCCTATAAAATTATACTCATCAATGTTCAATTGTGTGAGTGGTGCTATGAAGATATAATATTTTTGTTCTCTTGGAATAGCAGGAGTTAATGCTTCATCAATTCCATGAAGTCCTTCCATAACAATAACCCCATTTGGTGGCAATTTAAGGATTTTATCTTGTATTAATGAATATTTACCTGATACAAAATCAAAGACATATGGATGAACTTCTTCTCCTCGGAAGAGTCGTGTAAGTGTATCATTCAAATCACCAAGTCTCAATGCTTCTAAACACTCAAAATCGTAATTTCCATTCTCATCCTTAGGAGAGTCTACTCGATGTTTATAATAATCATCAGTACTTAATACAACTGGTGTAATTCCTCTAAGTTTTAATTGTACTCCAAGTTTTTTACTAAATGTAGTTTTACCTGATGCACTTGGTCCTGCAATAGAAATAAGTTTAACTCCTCTTGTTTTAATCTTTTCAATAGCATCTTCTGCTATTTGTGCTATTTCCATGTCTTGTCTATTTTCCATCATCATTATAGTTGTTTTGTCTCCTTTTATAATTCTCTTATTAAGATCACCAATACATTCAATTCCAACTGCTTGTGCTACTTTATTTGATGTTTTATAGTTTTCTATGATCTTTTTTGTTTCAATTTCTCTTATTGTTTTTGGAATTGGTTTGTTTTGTTGTGGGAATAATAACATCATTCCTGTTTTATCAGTTCCTACTATTAAATTAAAATCTTTTAATATTCCTGTTCGTCCTAAAAGTGGTCTAACAAATAATGTCATAAATCCTTCTAAATAACTACATTTAATTTCTTCATTATTATTACTTTTTAAAAGTGAAAGTGTCATTCTTCTATTAGTCTTTGTGAAATAATTAATTGCTTCTGCATATGATAGAACTACTTCTTTTATTTCTTTATTTCCATTGATTAATTCATCCATTTTGTGTTTAATGGTATTACACTCTTCTTCAGTAAACTCTTTTCCATCAGATTTATTAATACAATATCCATTATTGACATGATGTTCAACAGTAACTCCAAACTTTGTTCCATATGTCATATAAGCAGCAGTAGCAAATACCATAACCAATGACCTTCTATAAATTGAAAACCCTTCATAAGAATTTAAAAATACAGGAACAACATTAGCAAGACCAACATTAATACTAGCATTTGTTGAATACACTCTTCCATTAACCATAATACCAACTAATTCATTATTATTTAATGATGGGTGTGAGAGTAAGGTGGTTAGGTGTAATGGTCTAGTGTGAATTTCTTGTGTTCCATCAGTAAATGTAACAATAGTTTTTGAAATGTCTGTTACATTATCAATGGTAGTAGGAGTAGATGAATTAACAGTTGGTAGAGATAAACTTGACATAATGTTTTTGTATTAATGAAAATATTAGTTTCTAGATCTTGTAGTAGAAAAAGACTATATTTTTAGAGTGAATAAAATGGAAGTTTTTGGTTTGGTTTTTTCTATTTTCAAATGAAAACCATAAATAACACTTAAGAAAAATAATAAATAAAATTCTTGTTAAACATAATTTAAGAGATAACAAAAACGAAAAGAAAGAAATCCTCAACTTAATAATTAGTTATTAGATTATTTTCTATGGGTAACAGCATCACTTGTAAGTATGCTTTTCTTCCTCCTCAAAACAAATATTCTATTAATGCATTTGAAATTTGCCATATCAACAATAGACATGTTCCTTATTATATAATAAATTCTGAATTTCCAAGTAATGGGTATATTATATTTTCACATGGAAATGCTGAAGATATTTCTACTTCTATAGAGTGTATGAGGAGATTTTCTAAAATTGTTCGATGCAATATTATTGGTTATGATTACACTGGATATGGAAGTAATATTGGTGACCCTTCAGAAAGTAATTGTGATCAAGACATTTTAGCGATTTTTCTTATGGCTGTAAAAGACATGAATATACCACAACAAAATATTGCACTTATGGGTCATTCTATAGGATGTGGACCAACACTCTGGTTAGCAAATCAAATTCAATTGGATAAACTAAAAAAATATAATATTCAACAAGGTATTCTTGGGAGTGTATTATCTATAAGTGGATTTACTTCTGCTTGTGCTGTTGTTGATCAAAGACTAACATACATTCCATTTACTGATATTTTCAATAATGAGAATACAATTAAAGAGTTAAAAATGCCAGTCTTTATTGCTCATGGTTTAAATGATACAATTATTCATGTTTCACATGCTACTCGTTTAAGTGAAGCTATTAAATGTAAAGACAATTTTGAGTTGTATTTAGTAGAAGACTGTGGGCATAATGATATATTTAGTAATATAGAATTTCAAACAGCAATATTGTCATTTATAGAAAGTTATTTTCAAAACCATCTTATTAATTAAATTCATTAGTAATAAAGAAATAAATTAACAATTTAAATTTAGATATTACAACCATGTTCATGAAGAAAAACATCAGTTAATAACCAATATTTCCTTATAGGCTTTGTCTTTAAAGAAGAAGGAATTGGAGCTGCATTTGTTTTTAGAAGTTCATCTGTTTTGATTGATTTTTGAAAAGACTCCTCATTTATTTTATTTTGTTTTTTCTTTGAAAAAGGACTTAGTGCTGGTGGACTGTCAATGAAGTTTAACAATTCTGACTTACGAAGTTCTCTTATTTCTCGTGTTTCATGAAAATAAGGAACACCAAAACTAGAAAAAATATATTCTAGTAAAGGAAAGTGTGGGTTTAGAACAACAACTTCTCTAGTATGTTTATCAATTAGCTTTAGTTCTCTAAAATTATCAACAAAGTTACATAAAGCTCTATGTAATAAAGATGCTATAGAATTAATTAATTCTTTGTTTAAAGTTTTTCCTGCTAATTTCACAGAATTAAATCCCTTTTTTTTAATTGTTAATAATGTTCGTTTTGAATTTACTACTTCAAATGAAACTTCATTTTTTCCAATTTCTTCTGCTACGTTCATCATTTTATTAAACATAGCACATCGTGCACTTTTTGCTTTATGACGAAAAGAAATTCGTGTAATATCTTTTGGTGAAGGGTCAGAGAGAACAGTTGAAGGTAATGCCGCTTGTTTTTTTTCAAATTCTTCTACAATCTTATCAATATCATTTGATGTTACTGTTATTGGACCACGAATTTCTGCAACATCAAAATACTGCATTGATTTAGTTGCTGTCCTTTTTCTTTTATGAATAATTATTGTACACCCAACCCAATTTAATACACCAATAACAAATGCTGTTAGTAATGCTGTTTTTGTATTTTCTTTTTGTTTTAATAATTTATTTTGTAAAGTAAGTGAAGTAAATTCTTTTACTGAAGAAGAAGAAGGACATGAACAACTTGATGAATTGTTTGACATCTTGAGTTTTATTTTTAAGTTCTTATGAATAAACTTTTATAATTTTTTAATGGGGTTTTTATAATTTTATAGTACAGTAATAATTTTTATTATTAAAAAACTATATTTAATATCAAACAGTAAAACTCATGAGTTTTGTAAAATCAAAGCATTTTGTTTTATATAACACAAACTAGTTAATAATACAAAATGTCACAAAAAGAAAGAACTTTTCAATTGGTGAGGATTTTTATTAAAAAGTTTTTTTAAGAACACTTGAAAATAAAGAGAACTTAAAAATATAAGAGACAATGACAATGGCATTACAAGTAGGTCAATTTGATATTAAAAACATAAAATATACATTAACAAATAAAGTATACTTCAACACTAATGATTATAAGTCATTTGAACAACCAGAATATGTTAAAATAGATAATTTTGTATATACTGCTACTAGTCTTGACATAGTTGAACAAGGAAAGTTATATCTAAGTAAAGTACAACGAACAGATTTGAATTTAGGATTAAATGAACAAGTAAAAATAACTAAATTTGAACCTAACCAAACTCAACGATGTACTTCTTATTTAAGAATTGATATTGGATTCTTCAATAGACCAACACAAATAGAAATTGATGCTGAGGATATTAGAAAATTAATTAAAAATGATTTTAATAAACAAATGGTAACTCAAAATCAATCATTAGTATTAACAGTTAAAGGAGTTCCATTTTTATTAAAATTTGTTGAAATTCAATTGGTTGGAGCTAAAGGAGAAATTATTGAAAACGCTGATCGAGGACTTATTCATGAAAAAATAATGAATATCGATATTTCTAAACTTGGTAGAGATGGTGGATTACTTACTATTAATGGTGGAATGACTCAAGGCACTTTATTTACTAAAAATTTTAATCCAGAAGGAATGGGAGTTGGTGGACTTGACAAAGAATTTACAGATATTCTAAGAAGAGCATTTATGTCTCGTATGTTTCCATCAGAAACTATTAAAAAATTAGGTATTAAACATGTTAAAGGAATTTTGTTATATGGACCACCAGGATGTGGAAAAACTTTAATGGCAAGACAAATAGGTAAAATGGTTTCATCTGTTGAACCTAAATTAGTTGAAGGTCCATCCATTCTTAATAAATATGTCGGAGAGTCAGAAGCTAATATCAGAAACTTATTTGCAGAGGCTGAGGCTGAACAGAATCAAAGAGGAGATGATAGTCAACTCCACATTATTATTCTTGATGAATTAGATGCTATTTGTAAACAAAGAGGAAGTCGTAATGATTCTACTGGAGTATCTGATACTATTGTCAACCAATTATTAAGTAAGATTGATGGAGTTAATGCATTAAATAATATTCTTGTTATTGGAATGACTAATAGAATGGATATGTTAGACGATGCTTTATTAAGACCAGGAAGACTTGAAGTTCAAATTGAAATTGGACTACCAGATGAACATGGTAGAGTTCAAATTTTAAATATTCACACAAAAAAAATGAGAGAAAATCATATGTTAGATTCTAATGTTTCTATTGAAGAATTAGCTAAACAAACAAAGAACTTTTCTGGTGCTGAATTGGAAGGATTAGTTATTTCTGCTTCATCATTTGCTATGAAGGAAAATTTTGATATGGAGAAATGTAAACCAAGGAATGATAAATTTGTTGTTAAAAGAGAACATTTTGATATGGCATTAGGAGAAATGAAACCTGCTTTTGGTGTTGACAAAGATGACCAAATTCCTACACTTCCTAATCCAATGTTAGTTTATTCATCTGCACAAATGCATGTTAGAGAAATGTTAAAAGATTCTGTTCAACAATTAAGTACTTCTACAGTTACTAATAAAATTGCAGTTATGATTGGTGGTAAACATGGTAGTGGTAAAACTGCTCTTGCTGTAGAAGCAGCTAAACAAAGTGGATTTCCATTTATTAAAGTATTATCTGCAGAACAATTAGTTGGATATCCTGATGTTATGAAATGTTCTAAAATTGCTAAAGTATTTACTGACGCATATAGATCAACTCAAAGTGTTATTATTATTGATGACTTAGAAAGAGTACTAGAATATACTCCATTTGGACCACGTTTTGATAACACTGTTTTACATTTATTATTAGCCTATATTCGTAAACCAGTTCCTACTGGAAAGAAGTTATATATATTATCTACTACGTGTCTTGCACCTGATGTTTTAAGAAACTTAGATGTTTGGGAAGCTTTTACTCAACATATGCACCTTCCAATTGTTACAGGATGTGAACAATTAAAAACTATTGCACGTACAAGTGGAATGGATAGTAATATTGACGAATTGGGATGGGTTGATGTGATGAACCAATTCCAAAATAAAGAAATTGCAATTCAAAATGCCTTATTATTATTAGAAAATTTCAAAGGAAAGTCATATGACTCTAAAGAATTTACTATGTTAATGAATACTTATTGTTCAGAAGAAATAGATCCATGGGATTCAATTGCTTATATGCAAGCTTAAAAACAACTAATACTTTTTTGAATTATTATTATTTATATTTTAACTATAGTTTTAAATCCATTTTTAAATAAAAGATGAAATGAATAAAAGAAATAACAATTAATTAAGTATTGAGAAAATTAGTTTGGATTGTTCTTGATTTAATGGAGATGATTCCTGTTTATGAATCTTTTTATTACTTCCTCAAATTATATTTGTTTGTAATACGTTCAATCTTTCATGACATTTATCACGTTTGTTATCATTAAATTTTAATTTTTAATATTGTTTATTTCTTTATTTAATTGAATACTTTCTGAATATATCATTCATTTGTTTCATTTTATTATTTCTTATTTGTTTTATTGTTGTACACTTCTTTCTTTTCTTCTTTTATCTCTCATTTAACATTATATTTTACTTCATTATTCTTGTCATGCATTCTTTTATCTTTGTTTTATCTTTGTTTATTTTTATATTGTTTCATTCAATATTTCTATTGACTTTCTTAACATTGAATTTTATTTCATTTATTGTGTTAGTGGAAATATTGTATTTTTTATATCTTTTATTCTTCATGTCGTTTTCTTTGTTTTTCAATTTGTCTTTATTTTCATCACTTCTCTTTATTATATTATTTCATTGTTTCTATGCTATTATCATTGTTTCTATATTGCATATTGTGTTTCTTCTTTATGTTTTTTTCTTGTTAAATTCATTCATTTAATTTCAATTGTTTCGGTTTATTTCTTTTTATTGATTTTCTTTATTCATTCATTCATCATCTTTTTATATTTTAGATATTTTATTCTTTCTATTCTTTGAATTTCATTTTCTTCTTTTTTTCTTCTTTTATTTTTCTTTTATACTCTTGTTCATTTTTATTTTGTATATTTTTATTTCTTGTTTTATTTGATTCTCTTGTTTTCTTGATATATTTTGTATTTCTTCATTTTATCTCACTTATTTTAAAGATGGATTTAATTACAATTTGATTTCTTCTTATCTTCTTCATTTTCATCATTTCTCATGTTATAACTCATTTATTATTTTTGGTTATTAATTCATTTGTTTCTTTTCTTTGATTTTATTCTTTATTGGGTGTAATTTTCTTTGTTTGATTGTTGTTGTATTAAAATATTCTTCATTATTTCTTCACTTATTTCAATTTTGTTGTTTCATATTTGTTTTATATTCTACTTGTTTTCGATTATATCGTTCATTCGTTATTCTATCATTCTGTATTGTATGTCTCATTTTATGATTATTTGCATTTGGATTATTTGCATTATTGTTTGTCACTTTTATTATATTTGCTTCTTATCTTATTTCTTATGTATTTTTATTGCTCTATTATTTTCATTCATTTATATCATTTATTATTCTATTTCGTTGTTTTGTTTCTTGTTGAATTATTATCTCTTCTTTTTGTTATTCTGTATTTGCTTCATTTCTTCTATTTATCATTCTATCTTTTTCATATTCTAGTTTTATTCATCTTCTTACTTTTCGTATTCTCTTTATTCTT